CAAATGTCGCAATTTTAGTTTTATTTGCAGCTTGAAGTGTAATTGATGATGTTTCTCGACTAATCTCAGTTTTATTTTGAGGGATGATGCTTAGAGCAGCGCCAGTATCCACCAAGAAATTCAAGCCCGAGTTTCTGTCTCTAACATAAAACAAGCGACTGTTTAGGCGCCCCTCCTCAGTCGTCGCGACCTGGGGAGGGGTTACTCGTTTCCCGCTGACTTAGAATTATGCTTAGGCCAGGCGCATGGTTGCGTGCACTTGGTTGAGTTGACACCAAACTTCCAGTGGTACCAACAAAACTGCCCAGATTGTCTGGACATTTGTGACCTGTTTTGTGACTTAGATCGTGGTCGTTGTGGTGACCTGCTCCTGTTTCTATGACCCATTTGCATTCTGGTGACAGCCTCAGTGAGACTCTTAACACTCGCAATGAGTCCTTCTATTACGGGGTCTTTTGCTGATTCTACTTTTTGTGTGTGATTTATTATGCCTGATCCAGTTGGAGGACCTCTTTCCATTATTCTGTCGGCTATACGCGCTAAATGAGATAATGAGGTTTCAGGATCCTGTGCATCCAAACAGTGTTGGACGTAGCATGGGAGAGCTTGTATCCATCCTTGTTTTAGGACTGCTTCACCCACTGTGTTATCACCCACTGAGACTTGGAGGTGACGTAAAAACTGTGACGGCGACCGATCACCTAGTGTTTCACCTTGAAAAAGTCTTTGGATTCTTTGACTATCTGATAATGATAAACGGTTCATTATCTCTCGTCTTAAGATGGTGTATGGTTGTGGTGATGGTGGACTTAAAATCAAGTCACGGACTTCTTTGGCGACTGAAGGAGGAAGGATAGAACACAAGTCTCTATAGCGAATCCCTTCAGATTTGATATTGTGTCTCGTGAAATAATGCTCTAGTTGAGCAAACCACAACTCAGGATCACTACGATCGAATTCTGGAAGTCGGGATTTCGTAGTCATAACAGTGTCTATCTCCACTGGTGACAAATCCTCCAGATTATGGGTTTCTATTGAGTCTGACATGAGGTATGTGACAAATATAGCAATAAAGTTAGCACAAAAAGTGGTTACTATAACACGAATAACTTAAGATAATACGGAATAAACTAGTTATATACTCAAATTAGTTTACGGATAATCAGGTCTACTTTTACGATTAAGTAAAAAAAATGTTAATAACAGAAATGAGGTTAAATTTGTGTTCAAAAAGGGCTCACCAGTTTCGTGCCTTAAGGTAACCCTCGTGCTATTGATAGAAGAAACCGGAGAAGTAGTGAATAGGTCTTTATTTCGATCTTAGCGCAGTCGCAGTGGAGCGTGGGATTATCTGTTCAGACAAACAAAGGCTCTCAACATTCAATATAAGATAATAGGGAATATAACGCTTATGAAAAATAAGGAAGTGAATGAATACTTGAACAATACTGTTTTGGCATAAGCTTGGTTGTTTGGGGTCAACTCTTACCCAACCAACCTGAGCTGTTACAAATCCACTACATTTTGGTGACCTAGTGACGTAAGGAAGCTACAGTCACATGAATTGAAATCACCACATACAACTGAAAGTAAATCACTGAAGGCAGTAACATCGAACTCAGTGAATTCATCAGCAAAAACAGATAGTGCAGATGATGTGTAATCTGGAGTCACGTATATATTGGTCACATAAACATATTTGTATTTATTCAGATGTTTTGGACGACATCTTAGAGTTAGACAGTCGATAAAGTCATTTGAAAACTTAAAACACACAAACGAAGATCGGCACCAGTTTATGTTTACAAACGTAGCTTCACCGCCACCACACCTCCTTTTATTGTTCGATCGATCCTGACGATAAATTTTAAAATCACGTAGTGATACAAGGCATTCATCATGTAAATCATTCAACCAAGATTCTTGAACTGTGATGACACCACAATTACGATACGTATTTTGACTAAGTAAGAGTTGCTGATAGTCCACTTTGTTGATTAGTGATCGACAGTTAGGATTTAGCAGCTCTGGAATCGACATACGATTAATATTCATTCCCTTTAACGCATATTGCCAACCACCACAATGCCTTTTGTAGTACTTTTTCGAAACTTGTGCAGCGGAAGGTCGTAGGCTTTTCATAAAAGCGCCTGAATAGGTTATGCGATTAATGGACATAATTATAAATTAAAACAAATGAAAAACATATAACTTGTTGAAATAATCAGATGGCAGAAACAGGTAGCCCAGATATTCAAGTAGGCCGCCTAGTAGTCGTTTTCCGTATCCTGTCTTACAGTGACCTCACTGATCCAATACGAAAGTCACCCTTGTTACAAATTCCAACCCGTACTTTGAAGTGAGATTCCCTTTTGCTTTGCACTTATCACATCTACTCGGCGCTGGACCAGGATTATAATCTAGTATTTTGCCGTCCATGTATAATTTTATACAGCACACTTGATGAATAATTCCTCATTATGCTGCGAGAAAAAGTGTTGGTTTCACCTGTTTTGTTTTCTTAACTAATTTTTGTGGTTGTAGAAGTTTGATTAATGAGAACCGTTCAACATTATTCTATGTCCCATTGGTTACTCTTGAATAGACTGGTAAGTTAAATAAGACTCCTACTAAGCTACTTTCTTTGCGAAGAACAACTTCTAAGTGTCCTTGTTCGTTAATTGCATTTAGGTTCTGAAGTGACACTTGATTCTACCCATTCGATCCTTCAAGCCTAATGTACTTTTTCTCGGACATTTCATCTCTAGGTGCTGAATGGCAGATAAAAAATTGGTGAGGGTCGAAAACGTCACTAAAGAATCGGTATTGAAACCGCTTTATTCGAACATAAAGGTTTAATCACCTTATGCACGCTTTTTGTCTTGGTAACAGATATATCCTTTTGTCGGTAAGACTGTGTTTGCTCTTCAAATATTTTTACAAAGCAGTAACCCTGACTCTCCCATGGTTACAAGTTAGGGCAAGTCAAGATACAGAATGGTGTGATCCTGATATAATGTAATACGGATAAGTTGGTCGCTCTACAGAAAGTAGAAAGGACTATTTTCACTAACTTTATGATTATTTTACGTCTGTTAGAAAGCTCTACTCCATTTTACTAACCTGAATGAATTTATTCAAAAAATTGCTCCATTTTAGAGCGCCATACCGATATGTCAAGTTAAAGTCATAAATAAACCCAGCAAAACCAGGGCGAATCCCCACAAAGTGTGGATTATTGTCCTATTTGTATTTTTCAAAATTTTGGGCGAAATAAATTCCAATTTATATTTTGAGATTTTTATTATAATAGTCACAAAAGCGGATATATTTTATCTACCTAGATACAGTTCTCATGCCCCTTTGATATCAAACAGTAAGCTTTGGACGACCGTTTTCTGATTTTCTGACTTCGTTTTGAAATCACTTAGATAGAGAGTTCTAGAAGAGTTATTACAGTAGTTCGTAGCTCATTATGAGTCAGTTTGCTGGCGATCACTGTGAAATTTTGTAGTTCCGTTCTGAAATGCGTCGAAAAAACTAGTGAAGTCAGGAATGCGAATGTAGTTATAGGATCACAATCAATTATAGCCTAAAGTCTGACTACATATCCCAAGACGACTCAGGCTACTCTTCAAGTTGACATCATTGTGCATGCTACAAATCTTCTAACAAACGCTCATGAGAGACAAGAAATACACACCAAAAATGCTTAAGGTGAACTCCGGTCCAGAAATATTGTTTTCCAAATATGTGTAGGTTAAAAATGTAAATGCTCTTTGATTCGATATTTGGAGGTCTACTCATTTTGGACGGAAATGGCATGACCAACGAGCTTGCGTTGACGTCACACCTCATGGTTCATACTCAAAAGTGGATAATTCCTTGTCGTGTCCAGCTACTATGGTCACTCTGATGAACATACAACACAAGAAACGCTATTGCAGAAATGCATTGATCAGAGTGGGTGCAATGAAGGGTTTGTGAACATTGCTAAATGGGCTATTCCATGGCATGCAAGTCAATGATGATCGTTGGATATCTCTGAAATTGACGAGGACTGGTAAACCGCCCGATATTCAGTGATCGGACAGGTAGATTATTTGACTAATGTTTAACGAAATTTTACTAACTCTACACATGAAAAGCCTTCAAGACCAACAGCGATTCTTGAAACAAAACCGGTAAATGGAAAGCTGAACGAGAACGTCACAACCACAAAAAGCAAAGCTTGTTGTTAGAGAGAACAGTTGTCACGTAGTAGATAGTAATGAAAGGTTTACACATAGTCCTTGAAGTAAAAAATGGGCGTCCTATCATTATGAGAACTTTGAAATCTACAGCTCAGTTGATCTTCCATAATTCCACCATCTAATACCAGTGAGATTTTAACGTATTCCTCATAAAAAATGTTAAAAATATAAACATGATGCGAGTATGGATACTTGAGCCAATTGAAATACCATCAACGGCAACAAAACCGTAGGCTGTATTGGTGAAAATTCTGAACGAGAAAATAACCACCGTGGTTAAAAAACACGGAAAAAGTGGCTGACATTCTTCTGCAAGACTGTCAATGGTCAGGAGAACGTATATTTGCTGTGATAAATTACCAAGTATTTATGCAATGTATGTTCATCATACAATCGTTCATTTTCTCCATCTGAACCATCTTCTCGTCTGTTCTTCACTCGTTCTGTCAACGCCACACATTCGATGTACTATAACTCTTCTATCCGTCTAACACTTTTTGATACCGACATTACGTTCTGCTACATACTAGCTGCAAACAATCTTGTAAGTCTCATCAACTACACTCCCATCAGTAAACAATCTTGATTAGTAGGTAAGATAAATCCGAGATCTTTAGTAATGAAGTTTTTTATCTTTACATTTGCTCTTGCTCTTGTGGTTTGCTGGCCACTAAGTAACCCTAGTGATATTTGATCTACGACCCTGCTCATATTGACAGCAAACATTTGGCACGAAATATGGACTAGCTTTTAAATATAACAAATATATATAATACGAATGGTCGTACAAGTTACTATGAGATAAACAACCAAAGGAAGTTCACCAAAACATTTCAGGAGCTGGTAAGACAATCAAATATATGCAAACATACTACCGGCGTCTAGATGAACTACTAGACGAACAGATATATCAAGCTCAGAACACACTCATCATCTACTGAGACTTTTCCGTAACGTCCACATGAATAAGTTAAATTTCTCATTGTTTTATAACAGGTCATTGCAAGTACATTGGACACGTTACATATTGGAATTCATACGTTACTTATACAATTCTTGGGATTATTCGTGACAGCTGATTGCTCATGGTTGAAGATAGTAGGGGTCTTGGTGATTCCGTTGGACGGCAGTACTTTAGTGATAGCGTCGTTGATAGTTCATTTTATTCGGACAACATTAAGACAAATGTTTTCAACTTTATGGGAGAACTTAAACCGAACGTCCATGACGTTTGTAATTCCATCAAGCCGCCTCACACATCGGAAAAACGAAAACGAACGTAAGTTATAAATGGCTTTTGTATAGTTTTAATGCAATATACGTTCGTTCTTCCAAAACGTATTTATTGAAAACATCTCCGATCCCCCGATCTGGAAGATATTTTGCGATAGTGCAACAAAACATCAATATCGCCCCTGATCCTCTGCTTTTCTCACAACTCCACAAAAGTTTCGTGGTTTTCTTTATTCCTCCATGGTTTTCCCAACTCTTGAAATTAATTTCCACTGAATTTGTGGAAATAACCTTCATTCTTAATCGGTGTGGGGGTTTTGCTCAGAATTTCCATAAGCTTGTAAAAACTAAGAATTTCCACATGCCTTTTGGGACAACCTCAATATTTCCTTAAAGTTTTTAGATTGGAAATAACAGGTTTTTAGTGTACACACAAAACATTTGTTTAGTGCGATTATCAGTTTGTTTAATATATAATCTAGAACTAATGAAGATAAGACTGTAACTTATGGGCATACCAATCAGACTAACGATAGAAGACCTTAGATTTTGGCATAAAATTATTCATCCACGTGATCAAAGATCATTTCTGCATTATACCTTATATCAGTTTGTGGTGAAAACACTAACCATAATTTCGAACTCCTAGTTTCGGTCCCTCGCACTAACCTATAACCCTCTTTTGGCAATAGTGAGTAAGCAGATCTCCTCAATGTCAATTTAGCGCCGCTCATAGGTCAGTATACAGTAATAAGGATAGTAGGTTGGTGGACCCGTGTTAATCCTTGCAGTTCGTTTCCCAGTGAATTTCCAGTCTATTCTTGAAAATGTTTACTGATAGGACTCTTACCACTTGTTAGGGTAAAGCGTTCCAGTCATTGACTACTCGATGATAAAAGCGTGTGCCGTGGTAACCGGTGGTTGGACGTGCGTAATACGTAGCTCAATCATCTCAGTCGATGTAGATTCACAACCTGCTCAACTGATTTACCATCATTCCTTAATATATTGCGTTTAACCTCACTATGATTTGCCCGCTGATCCCATCAGATATGAGCAATATTTCTACGACGTCTATGATCAAATAATAGTAACTTATGTGTATTCCCTACTCTTAATAGACGAATATCTCGCCTTCGCCATAGGTGACGTAAGTTGGAAAAAGCCGATTTTATTTTTATTTATTTGGACACATAAATATTGATACAAGGGGGCACCATATATATATATATATATATATATATATATATATATATATGCGCCACACAAAACAATGAGAAGAGAAACAAGAAAGTAAGAAAAAAAGAACAATAAAGACCACAAATTAGTGTGAGATAGTGTATTAATAATAATAATGGGGGAAACGAAAAGGTACAACCAGAAGAAATCGTTCAGTTAAGGAAGAAACAACCATTTTTTAATGAAGAAAGTAAAAGAAGGTTACAGCAGGATCGCCACTGGCTTCTATTCTGAGCCATATCTGATAACGTCTCTAGCCACTGTGTAGCACCATCTCTAGGACCCCAACCAGGGAGTCATGAAGGACCAACAGAAGCCAGCCCTTTGCAGCTTTCTTTCATACCACGACACCATGTCATACACTAATCACCTGTCCGCTTTTGTTTCAACCAGTCTCAGCGTCGACAAATAATACACGACGTGGAATTCTCTGGGAGGACATTCGTAGCACATTTCCAAGCCACCGAAGTCGATGTTTCAAGATGATGACACCAATTGGATTATCTTCTCTTCGCCCAAATACACGATACCGAACCTCTGCATTACTAACATGATGTTGCCACTGGATGTCAGCAATCTTTCGGAGACAGCGGTGATCAAACACAGAGAGTCGTCTAACATCCTCAACTCGGAGAGGCCATGTTTCACAAGCATAAAGCAAAACTGCTCTCACTGACGCGTCGTAGATCCGACCTTTCACAGCTAGACTAACATCACGAAGGCGCCAAAGATGGCTCAGATTGGCAAAAGCCGCTCTGGCTTTTACTATACGTGCATTGATCTCACCACTCACGCCACCACCAGCACTTATGTAGCTACCTAGATACACGAACTTCTCGACTACTTCAATCTGCTCATCACACAGGGTGAGTACAGGATTAGAATCCTGCCAGTCTTGGAGAAGTACTTTGCACTCCAAAGGTCCAAAGCACATACCATACCTACGGACACTAATTACCAACTGATGAAGTGAGGATTGCACTGCTTGAGTATTATCACACAGTAAGACATTATCATCCGCATTCACACGGCCATTACTTACATCCGTCGGAGCTGTTTCCAGAATGTCACCGATGGTGAAGTTGAAGAGGAATGGTGAGATTGGGCAACCTTGTCGAACCTCACTGCTTGAATGGAATAGTGAAGAGAGGTGGTTGTATGCCCTCACTCTGCCTGAGGTGTTTGTATATAGGGCCTTTAGAATGTTAATAAACTTCTCAGGCAGCCCTGATATCAAGAAACATTATGACTGTTGGCCGGTGATAAGTATGACGGTGTTCTAACATTTGGCGGAGGGTGAAGATATGATCAATACATCCTCGACCAGAACGGAAACTAGCCTGCTCCTCGCAAGTTAATCTTTCTCGGGTTTCGAACAATCTACGAAGTATGACGGAAGTCAATAGCTTGGACGTAATCGGAAGTAGACTTATTCCCCGATAGTTGTTACAGGAACGACGTGAACCCTTTTTAAAGATAGGGACAATTATCGACTCATTCCATGACGTTGGTACCCTCTCTAGCCCCCAAACCTTTGTAAACAATGTAGTCAATTCCAGAAAGTCACCACCATCTTTAAAAAGTGCTGGAGGTAAGTCATGTGGGCCCGGTGGTTTAAAGCTCTGTGATATGAATCATTTATTTAAAACATACTGGGTTTATATATCAACCAAACAGACCACATCGTACCATAAAATAGGAAATAACATTTGTACAAGACTTAGCCAAATTTGACTGTGAATAAGGAAGATAATAATAGTTCATGAGTCAAGATAAAGCTGATAATTAGAGGGACACGAATATGAATAATTTAATTACTTTACAATTATATGACAAAAATATATGTATAATATTGGTCTATAACTGAGTCCCAAAAGTTACCATTCATTATTCTCATCGGGATATAACACAGATACATACTGTATATCGTGTGTTCGAAACCTAAAGTAAAGTACAATGTTATTACTATTTGCTAGTGGGGGGAAGGTGCTGAATGTCGACAACACCATCACAGTGGTGTTTAAAGACAAGGTCTAGCAATGACGGTTCATGTTCCAAGTCAATATGTGTCGGTTTTGCGATACAGTTTGCAAGTGCACACCAAATTATGGTTGATAATAGGCTGCTATCGAAACATCCATCTGAAGTTGGAAACTCTATCCAGTTGATATGCGGCACATTAAAATCCCCAATGATGTGACAACAGTTGGCCTTAACCCAAGAATGTATATGACTAACGATAAAGTCGTTAGGTGGACAACGTGGACTGCGGTATATTCCTTCTATAGTTACTGACCTGTGTCTAGACTTCATTTTACTTCAAGCTACCTCGCATGTACCACGTTCATGCGCCTCTGATGTGATTAGTTGTACATGAAATTGATCTCCAACATATAGTATTATGCCTCATCCATCGCGGTTTATAACTATCGCTTCTAATACAGATGTAACCCGGAATAATGGGGGAACATTCGTTATCTACGGAGAGCCACGTTTCTGTGGCAACACATGTCGTGAAATAACTCATCCACCATTGTACTTAACTCGGACGCTTTATTTCGCATACCAAGAGCGTTCGTGTAGCACACATTTAAGGCTCATACAGGTCCCGGAAGCATTGACTTTCAAGACCTGCCCACCCGAAAGTCCCGACTTTTAAGGTTTTTTTCTCCAGTTAGCTTTCGAGTTTTTAACCTTGTAAGGGCATTTTTCCACTTGATTCGATCCTTAGGCAACCAGTTTAGTCGGATACGAATATTTGAATTACGAGTTTTATATGCATTATTCAGTATGAATTGTTTTCATGACTTCTAAGTACTAACTTCAGGATCCTTCTTGGTTGGGTCTCGCCTCCAACGAACTAACCGAGTCTTATCGCTTTCGTGATATGTACCCCTGAAACTTCTGATGGCATACTCAAATAAATCCAAATTGTTTGCATGCCTTTTAGCAGGGTCTTTATATTTTGACTCAAGATTCCAAAAAAAAATAAACTAAGAACGGATTTGACTTCCTTAAAAGTCGTGTTCACGGCTTTCGATCGTGATGTCATATTCTATCTGTTAACTACCGGGAGCTTATCTTTGGTTGTTCTCGAAACAGAGTTATCTGAGTCGAGCGCATTACTTACGACAATATTCGATGAGAACAAACTTTTTCGAATTACATTATGGGTTAATATTGTATTACTTTGAGACTTTGGCGAGATAATCTGCGACTCAGTGTGAGCCCAACAAGGACTTGTCAACTAATTGGGCGCTGTTTGTGGCCGTTTTTTCTCTCCTCTGTTTCCGTACTATCCATCATTTCCCATCATTTAGGGCATCGGAGTCATGATTACCTGGGACAGTATCGGTTTTATCTAGGTCATCAGTTACTACTCTAGCAACATGACCATCAATATCCAGTGGTGGTTCACTCTTTAATTGTTTCAAGGGGGACTTCCCTATTGCATGTCACACGGTCGAGAGTCTGACACGTTCTGTAACAGCACTTACGACACTGACACATTCTTCGCTGTCAGTACCCATGTTACCAGTTCAGCCCTCATAAACCTTTTTTCTGGCCAACACCAGAAAGCTAATTGTCTCTTGGATGAGTAATGTATTGCTCGAACAACAAAACATACAAAGCCAATTGAAGTTAGGCTTTGAGCACGTTTTGTATGCGGTGGGATTTATACGGGTGCAAATCTTATGGAACCACTTATTGCACACTTCACATTGCATTCCTTGCACGTAACAGCAATTCGGCCGTCCACATTTATGAGTAGAGCGAACCATCTTGAAAATCAACTAAAAAGGATAACATTGAATTGAATTTGAAAGAAAATTCCAAACCCTAGCCGAAATAAGTCAAATTAAAGTCAACCAAGTATACTTTGATGCAATAAATATACAAAAACAAAGTCGGTTCACAACTATAAATTATAATCTCACCGGTAATATATTCACATTTATTGAACGGTTGTAATGTGCAAATATGCACTAGACGCGATATGTATTCAAAGGAATCTTCCTTGAATCATCTTTGGCGAGAGTCTTGTAGTTGACTTGAAGTGCGAAATGGAAACATATAGCTTTTCATAACATCTGTAAATATTTGTTTCAGTAGCATTGTTAATTACGATGTAAGGAATATTACAAAATATTTCATGACTAACTGGCTTTCATCTTGGTTTATGATATTGCCAAGGGGACTTAAAAAACTTGAGGCAGAGCAGCGAAATAGTAGTAATTGGTTGAGATTGGTCACCGACAACATTTATGCAAATAACTAAGCTTTACGGAAGTCTTTCCCAATCTCCTACTATCTGTGCAATTATTGTCACTCTTATTAGGACTTCAGTAATAAATACATTTCTGAGTAATTAATTTACGTTTGCAAAGTTCATTTCCTACTGCTGTTTTTAAATGTTTCTAGGAGTCCTGTTCCGGATAATGTTATACCCCACAAATACTACCTCTGTGAAACGGCTATGGCAAATCATTTTGCTCAAATGAATCTAACCTTACCGGTCGACGCATCCAAAATTCAAGGTGATTGCAGCTCACCTTTGTTTGGTGATTCGTCCTGCTTTCCACTTGACTCAAGTCAGATTGCTTCCGCTCATCACTTGTATCAAAACTTGTCATTGCACACTAACAAAGAAGCGGGTGTTATTACTATTAATGACGATGAGGATATTGATGAAGATGCGCAAATCGAAAGGTCTCTAATATATATATAATTTTTTTCTGAACGCATAACCTTAGCTTAGAATAACAATAAGCTTTATTAATCTCAAGATATGAATTCTTGTAGGTACGAAGACATTGCTCACAACAATTGCTCATAACATAGTGTAATTTGCATAAAAAACAGAAAATTCCAATTGTCTTCAGGGATAAAACACCAGGTATATTGTAATGATTTAAAATGGGACTGATTTATCAAAGGTGTGACCTTAGAAAAATACTGATCTTTGCTACTTATACAGTCGTTCGCTTTGACCGTGAAGTGTTTTTACCTGCTACGTGTATAATAGTACGAGATTGCCTCGTAGATGTGTGAAAGAAAACTAGATTCTAAAACGTTTTGGTCATTCAATAAGTTCAAATAAATTGAGCTAGTTTATAATCAATAATCTGATGTGTAAACAGAACGGGAACAAGGTTTGGAGAGTAAAATAAATTCATTCTACTTCACGGTTTCTCATCTGCTACATAGAACCTAAAAGTACAATTATTAATACAATAATTTACAAATGTTCAGCACACTTGAGTTTATGAGGTATAGGTAAATGTTTCAAACATAATCGAAATCATAATAATAATAAGAGGGATATGAAGTGTATGAGTAAACATATTTAAGGTTGATGTATATTCACAGCCGTTGAAAAACCGTCAAATAGAATGAATCCATTTTATTTTGCAAACATCGTTGTTCTTGCTCTGTTTAAATTTATCAAGGGATTTGGTTTTATGAAATCTAATGTTATCCAATTCGCCAAATGAATAATTTAACTGACAACTGAGAAATGTCGTTCATCGCATTTGTTTTATTCCTAACAAACGTGATTTATTAATTAGCCTATAATAATGATAATATTCAAATTTTTTGAATAAAGGAGTAACTTGAACTACATACCTGTTAATAATTATACGAAAATTAAATTGATAACATTTTCTCATCTCTCATTGGTATCAACTAATTTACTTTAAATTTCATCACAGATCACCTTTACGATTTTCAAATGATTTGAAAGATCACTTACGATTTAAACGAATGAATCCAACAGATACGTTCCTAAGAGGACTGTAAGTTTCTTCGTTTACTATTACTGTTAACTGTTGCTTTTGATATTTTAGTACTCTATTGTTCACCACGACCTAGCATTGTTCGGATAAAAATGCATACGTTTACAGTCGTTTTTCTTGTGGTAACAAAATAAATTAAACAAGGAAGCAGAAATAGTGTGAAACATCATACGATTTTACCACACTTCAGATCAACACTGAAAAATGTCATTGAAAATAATGATCTTAATTTAGTTTGAGATAGGTTGGATTATCCCGTGGTTGATATTTTGGCGTATGTGCAACCTTTGCGGATCTCTTCAATATAGCCATTGTGACTGAAGTTAATGTAGAATACATAAAATGCGGCTAGTGGTGTAATCTAGTACGCGCATTTAGTCCTACTTGGGACTTGCCAGCTGGATACACATGCATCCCAGAGTTGATGCTCATTCCGGGACTTGAACCCAGAACCGTTTGCTTTAACTCCATCACGTTATCCACTTAGCTACTGAGTCCAGATATCCCAAACTGATCAAATGTGAGTCAAAATGTCAAAAATGAGATAGCCCAAACCGTTCCAAATTGAATTAAAAATTATACCCGTTGTACAAGTAAGTGGCTATCTGGACTTAGTAGCTAAGTGGGTAACTATGGAGTTTGAAGCGAACGGTATGGAGTTCATGTCTCTAAACGAACATCAAATCTAACAAGTCCCAAGTAGGACAAAACACACGTCCTGAATTATACTACTAGCCACATTCCATCTACCCTATATTAATGATCCTAATACTTGTTAATGAATGAGACACTAATTAAATAAGTTAAGATAACGAATAAAGATGTGGAGTATCAAGTGACCTAAATTGTAATGATGATAAATGGTATGTGTTTCTTCATGATGAAAACTATTTTCAAGCCAGTCCAGCTTAAATATTCGATTATCTCTCCCACTGTCAATCAGCAACACTTTACAGATTAGACCAACAGTTAGTGAATCCATAAGTTGTTAATTTTATTTATTTATTTGAACACATAAACATTGGTACAAGGGGGCACCAAATATATATGCGCCACGCAATAACAATGAGGCTAGTAGCAGTCATCATTGCTTTATGTGACGCCCGGGTGCCCAACCCGAAGCAGGTGGTTTTCTCAGGGTCCACACCCGGAGTCTTTGACCTAAAGGTCTAATCCACAAGGCAGTGGAGCAACGTCAGGATATACAGTCCTGTGGTAGCCGATGACCAACAATAGGTTTATAAGCCTTTTCCCCCTCAGGTTCCTGGAGCCCATGTATTCTATTGTTTTGGAAACAGGGTTTTCCAACTCCCCTAGGTGGATCTTCCATATCCACTGAGCCGGTTAAAGCGCCAGACATCCTCATATCGTCTTCTCAATTTCATAAACAACAGTAATTTCGCTAGAAGGCAGCGAGTACATACATATCTCACTCATTGATATGTATAACTACAGAAAGAAGTTATATTTATTGATATTCACTAGGGAAAATACTGTATATTCCACTTAACAATCAAAGTTTATTCTGATTTCATTCTCACCAGTCATAAGGAAATCTCTAAATAGTGCGTGCTTAAGCTTCAAATCAATGCTAATGCTATGTTTATTCGTTGTCGCACATATCCAGCATCCGACGCGACCCATGATGTAATCGGTAAAACAATGTCGAAAATTACTTTCCCTTGGTATTCGATGGATATTTCATTCTTTATTGACCTCTGTTTTGTAGTATGTAACCTTATGTGAAAATAGATCATATTTCATTATTTCTTTACAAGGGAAAATTCCATTCTTCACCATGCAACTCTTTTTCTTTACTAAAATAATGCAATTTTATTAGGCTTTCATCTGAACCGTCACTCGCGATAGTGCCGTTTAATCCTGATCCCCTTAAAGGTTTACTTCCGCCTAATTTCTCAGATCAAGAGTCAAGTGAAGAAAACTCGGACTCTAAAGTGTTACCAGATAGTCAAGTGCTCGATTCATCTACTGTCTTCCCTACCAATTCCTCTACATTTGGTAACGTTTTGTGTATGGATATCGATTCAGATTTCACGGGATAACAAAAACAGTCTGGTTTTGATTTGAGTAAGCTAAACGTTTTTGCATTATCCTAGTTTATATTAGTGTTTCACATGCACTTGAAATTGTTCTTGACTCCATGGCTTAAAATAAAAGGTATTTAAAGATTCAGAATGTTAATAACTTATTTTCTAGTTTTATTTAATACCCCGCTTCTTAATTCTTTAGCATTAATCATTTAATTTCTCCATCATACACGAGTGTCATAGACAAAATACTTTTAATCTACGGATACTTTCTGCTGGAGTTGTTTCATATTCGTAAAAGAATACCTAGCTAGTTTATACTCAGTATAGTGTCTTTGTGATAGATTGACAATCATCTATCCCGCTCCACGAGTGAGACAAATTATGTGAAGTCATATGAACTTTTCATATTCATGCTGAAATTTCACCAGCCACTAAACCAATTTATTTGGTAAGACTATTGACATTGGTGGGTTGACTGACGCTACAAAGTCCTGAAACAGTATTCTAGGTATTTTTCACTTTCTCACAATGTGCTTAATAAATTACACCCGTGTCATTCCAAAAGACATTGGGCTTAGCTGATTATTAGTGGTTCTTGATGCACAAACCTGTATTTGGTAAGTAGATCACATGTTAGCACATTAACGAATTTAAAAACGCAAGGATGGGGCATTCTACAATAGGTACATTGATTGTCTTACTGCATAATTTTATTTATTTTTACACCACTTTTCACACTTATTATTTTCTAATTGTAACCATCGCCGTTCCTTTTTGTCACCAGAACTTCAACAGTTCCCAACTAAATTTGGCCATTGAGTCAAAATTATAACTACCTGTTAATCGTTTAAGAGATAATCTCTTTTGTGATTCTTTTTCATTTAAATAATTGTTATGTTTTTACTCACATATAAAATGTATTTCATTTAATTGTTATCTTCATTTCTTGACAAATTATAAAGAAACTGTTCACATTGTACATTATTGTCATTTCCTAACGAAATCTACCCCTGCATATTCAGCTCCTTCACTTAGCATTTGCGTAAGTAATGGTTTTTTCCCTTTGAAATCTTTAATTATTATTTGTATTATGGTTTCTCTAAGTCATTTTTATCAGTCTACATTCTGACAATCCGAGTGTTTTAACTTAATGATAGAAAAATCGAGAATATATTTCAGGAACAACTAGAGAAACAGTTAGTCGACCATGATTATGATATCCACCCGGAGGTAGCTTTCCATGAAATCCAGAATTCTTTGGAAACAGCAGTGGTATGTGCCAGTAACTTAAACCAAAAGGTTAAAAAATATCAGTGGATTTTGGCGGCGTCTACTGAACAGATAAATATTTGGGAATTCAACCTGTCAGGCTCCGAGTACGATGAGCTCGAAATCAACCCAAATGTAGGCCGGCTGTAAGTAGTGACGAGTAGCGAAAGCTGAGGAGATGGAACAGGGAACGGTTATAAGTGACAATAAACAACTATCTAAGCTTATCGAGTAAGGCAGCATTCCGAGTATGTTACAATTCTCTCAATCAGAGTGCAAAATTTTGCTTCAAGATTGGCTTGGGCCAGTGCGTGAAATAAGAATAGGAAATGGCCTAATTGAGCGCATCGACTGTTTCACTTATCCTGAGATTCTCATCATTCCTGACGTATAGTGTGTTATAACTTGTGACCGCTGATTAAAGAGTAGTGACTTATCGATCGGATCAATGACGCGTAAACACGTGCGAGCAGTCTAGAGCTCTGATTGACCCTGCTTTCCAGTCTAACCCAGCCAGATAAGTCCAGAACACAAGTCTCAGCCTCTGCGATATGAATCGTTATATTTCAAACATACTCTGTTTATATACCAATCAAGAAGACCACAACGTACCATAAAATAGAAAATAACATTTGTACAATGTTTGGCCAACAGGAAAATGACACGTGAAATAAGTATTGACCAGTATTAAAATGACACATGAAATAAATATTTAGCCAATAAGAAAGTGATATCATCTCAAGTCCAAGGATAGCATTAGACTTAACAGAATAATTTTTGGGATATTTTTCTGAATATCCCAACATAGTGTCTGACGAAACCTCAACATGGATCCAAAAAACCCGATTGACTATTAGCAACATGTGTCACTTATGGTGTAGACGAGATATCTATCTTTAAAATAAATGGTGAGTTTATTGTGAGACAGTTAACTTCGTTCTATTTATGAATATAAAACATGGCTGTTAATAATAAAGAATATCCCCAGGTCAATGGTATTCAATCATAGGTGTCTTCCAGGCTTTGCTTGTGTATTTTGGGACCATCGGGTGAACAATAGCGATTTTAGGCATGGGGTACCAGGTAAACAGGGCGAATCAATTGATGAAGTTGTTAGTGAATCTCTATCATCTAAGGTTGTTAGGACATGTGTTATAAATACCCAACCACCGCCTACTTCAACGTATGATGTTGTCTAGTGCAGAAGTAGGCTGAAAGATAGGGGCTGCCAAACCGAGATATGGCACTAGTCCATAGAGTTACTGACAATCGAACTGTGGCAGGTTAGTAGGTGTAGGGTACCTGGTTGGGTTCCTAGTGGTTAGAGACTTTGAATGAAATGGTTCACAGCAGTTTACATTAGTTTAGGTACATCCATTTCTCGTCTTTCCCCAGATTTTAAGCTTTTGGATTCTACATATTTTTATTTAACCAATTTATATTTTGAATCGTATCGTCGGTAGTTAATTTTCTCTATTGTCACTAATATTATTACTACCTCCACCATCTTAGGATTTGCTCTAACATTCTCATCACACTGTGCTAATGGGCTGTGGCGACCTAGACCAACGTACATATCTGCCAGGTTCTACGTCTCGACTGACTAAATAACCTTTATTAGACTTTTACATTATAAATGTCTAAACATTTGGTAGAAAGTTAGCAGCTAGTGTTTATTATTCTTATATAAGATTTGAATATTTGTTGTGGCTTAAAGCATTTTTGGCGGAATATAAATGTTGTTAGTTCGTAAGTTAATGTTTTTTATCTTATATATTGGTACATCGTTTATAAATTTATAGACAAATAAATTGGTTATCAAGAAGTTTATTGATAACCAATTATTGAAACTTGTCCACTGAATAACACTTACAAAGATTTGAGGAATTAGCGATTTCTCTTTCTTTTTAAAAAAAAATGAAGATCTAAGGATGCCACAAGGAAATAAACGTTTTATTGTTTCATGAATGTAATGCATAACCTTTTTCGTTAGTTATTTGTCATGTATGATAACGGTTCAGTATTCTCTGCTTGAAGTCCAGCCACCATCTAGTACATATAAATCTACTTCACTTACGTTATTTGTTTACTGTGAAATATCATCGTTGACTCACATATAAAATAATTTAGACCAAAAATTTAATAGAAGTTAAGTTACATTAAACTATTTCTACTTCTGAAGTTTCGTATTGTTCATTGTTGTATTCATCATATTGACTCTTATTCCATTCATTTTATTCGTTTGATATCTTGTTGATGGTTAAACTGGTAAAAAGAAATTAACCACTACAGGATTTTATGCAGTAGCTTCTGAGTTCAAGCCTGAAAACAATGATTAACCTTACTTAGATAGTAGAACTTATCAATCTGGTATATCTCAAATTGTCTTAAGTGTTTCCTGTTTATATTTCAGACACACATATCGAGTGGTTTAATATAGTGGATAGTCCATGCATTTTCTGATGTTACTGTTTTAATGAACAAGACCTTTGAAGATTACAGCACACTTTGCCTTTGATTGTTATTTTTATCATTTGTTGGATATATATTGTTTATATCTTTTACAATGTATAAGATATGCTGTACTGATTTTTTATTGTAGTGCACGTATATATTTTTGGTTTTTTCAATATTTATTGGTGTACTCATTGTATATGAACACTATATTTTCTAGATTTCTTTCTGTTTAGATGGAAATATATCAAGTTTTTGCAGCGTAACAAGTTTTTTTTGTATTTCGACTATCACAAACTGCTATTTCTTGAACACATAAATTACAGTTTAAAATAATGTTAAAGTTAGTGATTTCGACTCAAACCATTATGATTGTTATGACTGGTGGTCGACTGTTACGACTGCATCACCAATTGTTATATATGGTCGTCACTGATTGTTATATCGGAATCACTTATTACTTATACTTGTAAAAGCAAATATACACTACAGTTCTCACGACGCAAAAGTAAGAACACTAAAAGTGATACAAATGAATATTTATTCACCCTAAAACACGATGACGACGACTCGAATCGAAAATACACTCATTAATATATTGATTGTATGTTCATTTTGATAATTAATTAGGATGGAATTACATGCTGCATGTCAATATAGAGTATAACTCATGTGAATTTAATACGGAAAAGCATTAACAAATACTACACTGAGTAATTATCACATTCAATTAAAATGGAATTAATGTTGAACATAAATCATTATGAGTAAAAGAATATTGAATAAAACTGAATAGAATCAGAGTCACCGGTAATTTTAGTTTTATTCGGTTATTTCCTTTATTGCATCAACTTATTTTCTTCTATTAATTGTGTTTCTCATTCACTAAAAAGACTAATTAAAGTTATGGATAAATACATCATCTCTAAATGACATTATGTTAAGGTTCTTTTTCACGTTTAATAATCCACTGACTCAATATTTTGAAATAAATGTTAATAACTTATCTAGTACCAGACTTAAAAAATAAGTCAAGTTTTTAGTTTTCCAATTAACCACTGATATTACTATTCCCTGAATTTGTAGATTTATATAGGTTTTTTGTTGAGATCGGTGCTCGTGTTTATCCCTTATTTATTTCGTAGTGCTTTTAACTACTGAGTTTTTTTAAAGCGAATACATAAATATAATAGCGCTCAAGAATGATGGAAATACTAGGAGTCTGGGATTGAATTTCTTGATGTTCTGTACAAGTGACAATGTTGGTTTTCAGAAGTCGTTTATTTACAGTAAACTAAAGTGAATGGTTCTTTGAATGGTCGATAAACTTCGGTCGTGTTAATTCTGAATGTTACGACGCATATTGTTGGTGAACAACGCGTTAGTTATTCTGAGAACATCTTCATAAATGCGCATGACTCGAAAAGTGTTTACTGTCTTGTGTTCGCCAGTTTATTGAATGCTAAACTGATAACACTCCTCACACAACTCCTTAGACTCCGAGCTATGATTATTATTAGGTCTCACCTTCCAAAAAAAATTACACAGGATAAAGATACTTCTGTATATTGTCCAGTAAATGAGCATACCAAGATTATAAATCCACTTCATGTAAACGTATTTTAGTGTGATTCGAACTTGAAGATATTCAAACTATGATCGGATGTTTACGATACTTATCTCACCATAAATGTCACATAATTGTATAAAATCTATTTTTCTAAGCAGTTGTTGAAACAAGCTTGATTATTGAACTGTATTGTCCAGTTTTCCTCCAATGTTCTGTTCAGGTGAAATCGCAGTCAAATGAACAAAATCCTTCTAGATGTGAAACTTTAAGTCTACCTGTTCTTCATAACCCTAAACGATAGTACAGTAAGTGGATTTACTCTTTAGAACTTTGTAAGTTTCTCTGTAATCTTGACTGATGACCACTGAATTGACCATGTCGTAAGAAGGTGCGTTTACTTCTCTACAAATAGGTTTAGATGTGACTATCAGTTGAGTGTGACAAGGCTGGATCGGTATTGACTGGAAATGGTACGTTTATCAGATGGCTCATGTAAGAGGTCATTATGTATTAAGTGAAAGGGATCGGGGTTCCACGAACTTCCCTGCAATTATAAGGGTAGAACCAAATATTAATTTTGTAGAGGTAGAATCAGCATTAGCTCTTATTGAACAGCGAATTTCGAGATAGATGATTGTGCTTGCCTATTGTGATGTGTTCGCTAACGAAAAAGAGGTATTCAAAGATCGCTCATGAGTTAAGGGGGAAATTTGTTTCTGTAAAAATCTCAGCGATTAAATTTAGAGAAGATCCAGACAATCGGAGTGTGCCAAATTAATCGGTGAAAAGTACCTGGTTGGGGTCCTCATGGTTGTCGTAACCAGTGGTTAGAGACTGAATGACATGGTACATTCACTTCTTATCCTTCTTACAATCTATGTCTTGAAATCCCTTTAGAAGTTGTTTTCTTTTTCTATACCTAACCTTTCTAATGCACTAATACTACTGCTCATTTTTTATTGCTTTTACTGCTCTTGAATATGTCTTGATAAATAGTTTGCTTTGCTAGTGTTATATGCTAAGTTGAATCGATTTACATTGGTGAGGCTTTGCGTTACTTATGACAGGCTGAGCAAATCTTTCGGTTAAGCAATCAGTAAAGGAATGACATCATCCCTGATTATGGGGAAACCAGAGAACATATCGGATGGTAAAGTTCGACGGAGAAGATTGAACTTCACCTTTCGAAACGAAAATAACTAGTTTAACTATGCCTAAAAATCTGGGTACATTCGAAACGAATGAACGCAAACTTTCAATGTAATCAGAATGGGAGTAAATAATTAAGAATTACCTACAGAGGGAGATAATTCTAAAATCTACTGAAAGAAAGGGGCGTTTTGTTTATTTGAAATCAGATTTTTGGGTTATACCATTTTAAAGTGTAAGGGAACTTTGTTTTGTGGCTAATACTTCATTGGCAGCTGACATATTTTGTTCTTTTGAACAGTACTACTGATTAATCAGTAAGTATCCTGAATCGAATTCGAAATATTTACTTTAAGACTTACCAGTCTTTAAGCCGGATATATTCTTGATTTGAGGTAATGTATATCTGTGTAAAAAAGCAAACTGCCTTTCAATGGACCTATGTTTTGCAGTGTACATATTAGGTAGTGAATATGATTTTATTTCAGTCCATCGTAATTTCGTTCTTTATACTATTTAACTTCTTTTATTGAATCGGAAGAAATTCACTTCCAGTATATTTATTGTCAACATTCTAGATAGCGAAATTATTTATCATCCTCTAACTGTGATGTGTACAGACCTTTCATTAAAAACTATTGATGGTTAACATTAACTGTGATCTATCTGGCCCTATCGTTAAAGTTTATAGCTAAAGTTATTTAGTAATAACCATGTAAATGAATAAAACGTTACATTATGATCGAAATTGTCTGATTCATAAACACTACATTGGAAATAATGTTTTAGTACCTGTTAAGATGTTACTTTGAGGATAGTAGGACAGCATGTCACAAATCTGAAAAAAGACTTAATTCACAGAGCGTTAAGTACATAGATATCTTAAGCAACAAATGTTCATCAAGGTAAAATCCACTGCTTTGCATATTTCGGTTTCTGTCGATTCGAATTGTTACCATATATCATTATGTCTGGGTAAGTGATTCACTTTCTACTTGTCTGACTTTACAAATCACTAAATAGCATAAAACTGCTGCGACTAAACTTAGTTCATCAAATATCTTTCGACTCCGTCAAAATAATCAGTTTTCAATGTTGGCGACCGTTTGTTATAACGTTTAATCTAAATTTCAAATACGGCATAAAAGAATTGAAAAAAAAAGTTTTAATTCAGGAAATAGGCATTTATTGATAACACGAGTGTTGTTAAAATAAAATTCACTAATAATTGTATATTTAATATTTAGAAATATTCAAAAATCATATGAACTCCGCCTGTAGCATTTCTAGGATTACTGCAGGTACCAAGCTCAAGTGAATGAGAAGCATCGGGTGTATGGTCGGCAACTCCGTCCCGTAAAAAACAACCTTGCTAAAATACACTAACCAGAACGAACAATTTGAACCAATTAAGCTCTACCCTCCGAGTTCAAGGAAGAATTATGACGCCTCACGATGAAAGCCGATATTCTTCCGAAGTCACGAGAGCGATGCCCCTTCTAACAACCAGATCAACAACTTATATAAGTTCATGGAATGTTCGGACAATGTAGGAGACCGGGAGGACCAATGAAATAGCTACGGAAATGAGGGGCCGCTAGAACTGACAATATACCAACCGAAGCACTGAAGTCAGACATAGAAGTAACTGCAAACATGCTCCACATTCTATTTTGGAAGATGGACGCGCACTTCTAAGGAGCCTCACAATGGAACGAAACGTCTTTTCAGTGCTTCCATGTTTTTCATGGTGGTCTAGCTTCAATTGACTAATGATCTCAGCTATTGAAATTACTACAATCTCCACAAAACCCATTCTGAGAAGAAAAAGTGCTGACATACTGGGAAGAAGGATATCTCATCAAGATACCAAAGAAAGTAGATTTGAGCAAATGTGAGAACTACAGAGGCATCACACTACTGTCGGTACCAGGAAACGTTTTCAACATTGTTGCTGAACCGGATGAAACACTCAGCAGACAGTCAATATCGAGATCAACAGACCAGATTCCGTAACGATCAGTCGTGCATAGATCAAATAGCGACATTACGGATCATCGTTGAACAATCCATTGAGTGGAACCTGTCACTATACATAAACTTCCTTGATCATAAGAGAGTATTTGACAGTGTGGATAGAAAAACATTATGAAAACTTCTTCGACACTATTGTATGCCTGAAAAGATCATTAACATCATACGGAATTCATCCGACGGACTATTGTGCAAAGTAGTGCATGGAGGACAGCTGGCAGACGCATTCAAAGTGACGAAGGAAGTCATACAAGAGTGCTTAATCTCCCCCTTTCTCTTTCTTCTGGTGGTCGACTGAAATATGAAGACCTCCACATCTGAGGTGAAGCACGGAATATAATGGACAGGATGGATGGATGCAACTAGACGATTTAGACTTCATATATCATCTGAACCGTCTATCTCATAAACATCAACAAATGCAGGTCATGACAAATGGTGCAGCAGTAGCCTATGTATTAGTTAGCCTCAACATACACAAGGGAAAAGGCAAGATTTTCAACTACAACATGGAGAACACCAACTCAATCACACTTGATAGAGAGGCTCTGTAAGATGTGAAATCTTTCACGTACCTGGGAAGCATCATCGATGAACAAGGAGGATATGATGTAGAAGTAAAGGCGAGGATTGACAAAGCAA